AAGAAATCTTTTGTGTTTATTAGATATACTTACAACACCGGTTTGCTCAACCCGGTCAATGAGCTCTTCCCAACCGGTTTTACTATATTCCTCCATGATGGAAGCGATGAGGATACGATCAGGGTACTCTTGTTTCAGCTGTTTGAACTCTTTGAGCATGGTTTCGAGTGGTCGGTCGCTGATGAGTTCTATGTTCTGCCACCCTATTACATCTGTTTTGGCTGATCCGGTTCGTAGACGAGCGTATCGTGGCGTTACGTTGATGACTTTTGATGCATCCAGTGAAACCTAAAACCACACAAATTTACAGATTCAATGACGTCAGTTACACGAAAAAAAAAAGTCAACGCATAAAAACAGATTTTTAGAAAAAAAGTTAAAAGTTAATTTATTGGGAGGTTATACGGTTTTAGCGATGACGCCACCCCAGCCTTCATCAAAGGCTCTTTTCATGACGGTGTAGTTGGTACCGGGTGGACCCGACCCGATCACGAAAGGATTCGGCATTTTGAGGCCATTTACTGTGACGCTGAGATCAGGCTCCGAGTCTATTGCGGAAGAGATTTTGAGAGAAACTCTGTTCGGAGGTAGGAAAGTCCGGCGAGGGGAGTGATCGAAGTCCGGTGATAAGGTGGTTTTAGAAGCGAGTTTAGAGAAGCGAGACAAGGAGAAGCTCATGGATGCCATTGATGGATAGATAGATTCAATTTGGATTACTGCAGAGAGTTAACAGAGGGAGAGAGAGAGAGGTAGAAGATAACACGTTTGAGAATGCGTAGGAATTCGAAATTGATCTAATGGAACGGAACTAAAGGTTAGAGATGGAGTGTTGTAATAATTGGTCGGTTTCACGCTTCTCATGCTTGCCATGTGGAGAAATAATTGAAACTAGATTTTGACCCGCGCTTCAAAAGCGCGGGTTTTTGTTAGATTATAAACAAATTTTGATATGATTTAGTATTTTAGAAATGATGTACATTATTAGGCTACAAATCTTAATATATAAAATAGATTTTTTTGAAAAATTATGTAATTTATAAATTAGTTTATTTGAGATTTTATATGTAAGTTTTTAATGTAACTCTC